TGTAAGGAACATTCTTCCCACTGATCACCAATGTAAGGAAAACATTCTTCCCATGTGACCAACCAATGTAAGGAACAATATTTCTTCCCACTGACCACCAATGTAAGGAGCATTTTTTTCCCACTGACCACCAATATAAAGGGTATTCTTTTCATTGACCACCAATGTAAGGGGCATTATTCCTACTGACCACCAATGTAAGGGGCATTCTTCCCACTGACCCCCAATGTAAGAGACATTCTTCTCGCTGGCCACCAATGTAAGAGACATTCTTCCCACTGGCCACCTATGTAAGGAGCATTCTTCCCACTGGCCACCCACCAATGTAAGAGGCATTCTTTCCACTGACCCAAATGTAAGGGACATTCTTCCCACTGACTACCAATGTAAGGGACATTCTTCCTACTGACCACCAATGTAAGGCGCATTTTTCCCACTGACCACCAATGTAAGGGACATTCTTCCCACTGACCACGATGTAAGGGACATTCTTCCCACTGACCACCAATATAAAGGGCATTCTTTTCACTGATCACCCCCATGTAAGGGGCATTATTCCCACTGACTGATCACCAATATAAGGGGCATTCTTTTCACTGACCACCAATGTAAGGGGCATTCTTCCCATTGACTACCAATGTAAAGGACATTCTTCCCACTGACCACCAATGTAAGGGACATTCTTTCCACTGATGTGACCACTGATGTAAGGGACATTCTTCCCACTGGCCACCAATGTAAGGGGAATTTAAAGGGCATTATTCCCACTGATCACCAATGTAAGGGGCATTCTTTTCACTGACCACCAATGTAAGGGGGCTTTCTTCCCATTGACTACCAATGTAAAGGACATTCTTCCCACTGACCACCGATGTAAGGGACATTCTTCTCACTGATCACTAATGTAAGGAACATTCTTTCCACTTTCCACCAATGTAAGGGGAATTTTTCCCACTGACCCCCAATGTAGGGAGCATTCTCCCACTGATCACCAATGTAGGGAGCAATCTCCCACTGATCGCCAATGTAAGGAGCATTCTTCCCACTTTCCACCAATGTAAGGGGTATTCTTCTCACTTTCCATCAATGTAAGGGGCATTCTTTCAACTGACCACCAATGTAAGGGGACACCTCTACCACTAACCACTACAAAGCCGAAGGTTTCTGGACATGGGACCATCATATTTCACTGCAATGGATACCTTAACTTTGAATGGGCCTGCAGAATTTTTTAGTTTTGTAATATGATTTTTTCCCCCCTACCCCCATCATCACCTTTTCATGCATACTTTGTGACCAACGGTACCATTAAATGTTTACATGTCCATAGAAAGTCTGCAGCCCATTTCCAGACCAATGTTACCTTTTCTTTTCAGTGAATCACCATCCAAACAGTTCACACCAAAAAAATATTCAATTTAAAATTTTGTATTCCTTCTGGTGTCCAACGCCGTATTGATTATTTTTCAACGGCAAGATAAATAATTCATAGAGAAAGACTTAGAATGTTCTGATTAAGTCAAGAACCTGAAGTCTCTTAAGGCCCGAGAGAATTTGAGTTTTTTTTTTTGCCTTCCTCGCAATCATGGTTGGAGGATTTCAGAACGAACACAACAATTCTGCATGAACTGTTTGGCTTGCTACAGATTAGAGCAGGAAATATATATTTGTACATTTTAATTTTTAATCACACAATCTTGATAATGAATAGGAATATTATGTAGAGTAGGGAGAGTTTGCAAATTACACCATAGGGAACACAAGATGAAACTTATAGCAGAAAATTCTTTTTTTTTTTCCTTTATGCTTTATAAACAGACCAAAATAAAGGGCTCCTGGAAAGCGGACTTGGAATACTCGCCTCTCTTGATGACCGTGTTGCTGATCTCACCATAAGTGGAGAGAAACCGTCAGCTAAAGGTCCTGCAAAATCCAAGACTTCTGTTTTTCCTGACCCCCTGCTGCTCTCATTGGTTCCTCCCACCAGGCCCTAGGTTCCCATAGAACAGTATGGGACAGTGGATTAAACCAATGAGTACAGAGGGGGAATCAAAAAAAGTTTGTAATTGTGCAGAATCTTTCGCTAGCAGTTTTCTGTCCAGTGATGTGGGTGGCAGGAGAGGTGAGTATTCAATGTCTTATCAGTAGGGGCTCTTTATTTTGATCAATAATTTTAGAGACATAATTATTTTCGCAACAGTGAATTTTTTTGCTATTAATATACCCAGGTCTTTTTTTCAGAGGGAACGTGGGAAAATGCAGTTCTGACACCTCCAGCACTGAATGTACAGGATGTACTGGCAAGGGGTGTTGGGGATGTGCTGGAGGGTCTATTGATTCTGCCAGGGATCTACTGTCTCTGGGGGTGTAGTTTTGCTGGTGGCTTAAGGATCTATTGTTGCTGGTGGGTCTGTTAATGCTTGAGGGGGGTCTATTGTTTCTGAGGAATCTACTTTTGGGGGGTTTATTGTTGCTGGTTGCTGAGGGGGTCTGTTGTTGCTGAGGAATCTACTGTTGGCATGGGGTATTTTTTGTTGGCTCCCTGGGAATCTATTGCTGCTAGGGGTTCTATTGCAGCTTGAGGGGGGGGTCTATTGTTACTGAGGAATCTACTGTTGGGGGGGTTTTATTGTTGCTGGATGCTGGGGAATCTATTGTGTCTGGGAGAGGTCTATTGTTATCGGTTAAGGATCTACTGTTACAGAGAAGGTCTATTGTTGTTGGCAGAGGTTTATTATTGCTGGCCGGGAATATATTGTTACTAAGGGGGGCATTGTTGGGTGAGGACCTATTGCTGCTTGTAGGTGATCTATTAATGCTGTTTTTTTTTTCGCGGGGGGAGGTATATTATTGCTGGGGGTTCTATTGATGCTGGACGTTCTATTTTACAGCTTTTCTTGTATCAATAATACATTGTATACAAATTGCTTAGCAACACAAACTGATACTTGACTCTTTCTCCTCTAAAAGGGGCCATATTGGGAGGTAGGTAGGGGGGTGTAGACAAGGGACATGTTCAAGGTGGGTAGGGGGTGGAGTCAAGGGGGGGGGTATTTGCACCCCGCCGTTCAACGCAGATCTCTGGCTCACAGACCCAGAGCTGTTCCCAGACGTCAGCATCCAGCAGGCCACACCCTACGCGTTTCGTCACCAACAACGTCCTCAGTGGCGGTGTGCCTACTTACCCTTGCCTGAGTCTATGCCTGTGACACTGGTGTCGGTGTAGACACCTTAAATTGTGAGTGTTATTCATACATTAAAGCGGTTAATGATTTTGAAAACTTGCTGCACCATGATCTCTTTCTTTTGACTTTGAATATGGTCCCAATGGTACGGAGATATATGATAAAAAGGTGATATATACCCCTGGAATCTACACTTATCTTTGAATGGTGGCTACTCATCCTATGGGATATCATTTACCTGGAGAGCATTGCATCTAAGAACTGGATTGATATCTATTGCTCCCAGAGCAAGAGTGTTTTTTGCTGGTCCATTTGCTGATCAGCATTGAGCTCTGGTGAGTGACCCAAATTTTCTTGGTGGTGGATTTAGCACGGTATGGACATTACTTGATTTTGGAAGATATAATTTGTGGACATTTATTTTATTTATGAACACTTTTTCTTTTTTATAAAATATATTTTTTATATTTTCCTGTGTTATATTTTTTATGTTTATTTAGCGCATTCCTTTGATTTATTTGTTTTGATCAAAAAATTTATGTGAGTTTTTTGAATTGAGAATCTGCTGCTTTGGACATTTTAGGGTGTGGTGCTTTTTTATAACAATACTCTGATTTGACATGTTGGGTATCTATTTACTTGGCGCAATCTCGTCTTTTATATTTTTACCAAAAATTTTGGAAATTAATTGCATTTGTTTGCCCTAATATTTAGTGTGTTTTTTTACTAAAGTGTGTTTTTTAATAAAATTAAACCTTTGCAGTAATATCGTGTAACATACAAAATTGGAACTACCACTATTTTTATTCTCCAGGGTGTCTGCTTTCAGAAAACATATAATGTTTGGGGGGTTTGTGTAATGTTCAGGCCAGAAATAATTTGTTAAACATGTTTGCAAAAAAAAAATGCATTTTTTTAAAAAAAAAACAGCTCTGTCAGGGAAAGAGTTATGGAAAATGGATTGGAGCGTCTCATTCATCGCTACAATCTAAAGCCCTCAGATAATCCCTCTACAAATTTCCTATTTACAGTCTTGACTTTAATTCATATTTCCCTATGAAGCCTCCGGTAGAGATCTTGTGCTTAGGAAGAACATTTCATCTTTCTGCAGTCAGGATGGAGGTAAGCAGCCAACCCTTCCTAAAAGCCGTGCTAATTATCTCTGCAGCTTCCACAGACACCTTCCCGCAGTAAGGTGTGGAATGTTTGGCCATGCATTTTATTTGCATACATTAACAGGAAACCCTTACATAGATCATCCCCAAAAACATAGTCTATTAAGGTGCACGGCGCATGCAAATTGCAAGGAGATGCAGGAGGGAGAGACAAGATGAAAGTCTCTCCGGAGGTGTCTGTCTGCCATTACCTGTGTCAGCTGAGGTTGGGGAGCAGCACCGTCATTCTGTAATCCCTCACCTGCTTCCTTCTCTTCTATTGGATCTTTAAAACCTCCCTCCGGCCTTCCGTTCAGTCTTGCACAGGTGTACCGGTCCTCCCTTGCAATCTTGTACAGGTGGAACGGCTCCTCCCCTTCAGTCTTGCACAGGTGTACTGGCTCCTCCCCTTCAGTCTTGTACAGGTGTAGCGGTTCCACCTCTTCAGTCTTGCACAGGTGTACCGGCTCCTCTCCTTCATTCTTGCACAGGTGTACTGGCTCCTCCCCTTTCAGTCTTGCACAGGTGTAGCGACTCCTCCCTTTAGTCTTGCTCAGATGTACTGGCTCCTCCATTCAGCCTTGCACAGGTGTACCGGCTCCTCCCCTTCAGTCTTGCACAGGTGTACCGGCTCCTCCCCTTCAATCTTGCACAGGTGTAGCGGCTCCTCCCCTTCAGTCTTGCACAGGTGTACCGGCTCCTTCACCTTCAGTTTTGCACAGGTATACCAGCTCCTCCCCTTCAGTCTTGCACAGGTGTACTGGCCCCTCCCCTTCAGTCTTGCACAGGTGTACTGGCTCCTCCCCTTCAGTCTTGCACAGGTGTACCAGCTCCTCCCCTTCAGTCTTGCACAGGTGTACCGGCTCCTCCCCTTCAGTCTAGCACAGGTGTAGTAACTCATCCCCTTCAGTCTTGCACAGGTGTACTGGCTCCTCCCCTTCAGTCTTGGACAGGTGTACCGGCTCCTCCCCTTCAGTCTAGCACAGGTGTAGTGGCTCTTCCCCTTCAGTCTTGCACAGGTGTACCGGCTCCTCCCCTTCAGTCTTGGACAGGTGTACCGACTCCTCCCCTTCAGTCTTGCACAGGTGTACCGGCTCCTCCCCTTCAGCCTCGCCCAGGTGTACCTGCTCCTCTCCTGGATTGAAATAGCTTACTCTGATATCACCGCACGCTGTGAGCTTCTCACATTGTGCATTAGAAGCTTCAGCAAGTCCGATAGAGCTCCGCCCCATTTCTGTGACTGTCTCTGGCCCCGCCCCTTTCATTTATTGATCATGGAGACTCAGCATCACATGTGGGTGTTGCTTAGGGTGGTCAGTATGCAAATACTAGGGATACACCAAAATATCAGCATCCAAAATGTATTGGCACAGTGGCTAAATGGGCAGCACTTCCCTCTGGCAGTACTAGGGTCGTTGGTTCGAATCCCCAGCACGGCACCTCCTGCCTGGAGTTTGCATGTTCTCCCTGTGCCTGCGTGGGTTTCCTCTGGGTACTCTGGTTTCCTCCCACCCTCCAAAGACATGCTGGTAGGTTAATTGTCTCCTATCTAAATTGTCCCTAGTATGTGTATGAATGTGAGTTAGGGACCTTAGATTGGACGCCCCTTGAGGGTTAGGGACCTTAGATTGTACACCCCTTGAGGGTTAGGGACCTTAGATTGTACGCCCCTTGAGGATTAGGGACCTTAGATTGTACGCCCCTTGAGGGTTAGGGACCTTAGATTGTACACCCCTTGAGGGTTGGGGACCTTAGATTGTACGCCCCTTGAGGGTTGGGGACCTTAGATTGTATGCCCCTTGAGGGTTGGGGACCTTAGATTGTATGCCCCTTGAGGGTTAGGGACCTTAGATTGTACACCCCTTGAGGGTTAGGGACCTTAGATTGTACATCCCTTGAGGGTTAGGGACCTTAGATTGTACACTCCTTGAGGGTTAGGGACCTTAGATTGTACGCCCCTTGAGGGTTAGGGGACCTTAGATTGTACACCCCTTGAGGGTTAGGGACTGATGTGAATGTACAATATATATGTAAAGTGCTGCGTAAATTGACGGTGATATATAAGTACCTGAAATTAATAAATAAATATTGGCCGAAAATAGTGTTATCAGCATTTTGCAGATGGGAAAAAGAGGTGCAGATAATGGCCACTGAAAACATTCAAATTTACTTGCGATTTTACAGCAACTTTATCTGCGATTTTGCACAATTTTACCACGTTTAGGGTGTGTTTTTCATAGGTCATGTGACTCAATAAAAGCATCAAAACGTGTGCGTTTCGGATGGGTTTTCAATGCATTTCAGGCTTGGTTCACACCAATGCAGTTTGTGTTTTGTCCATTTTGCAGTGCATTTTGCCTTTTTGCATGTACTTTATTGACACATTTTTTTGATGCGTTTTGTGTTTTTTGAAGAGGAGTACCAAGGCAGGCTGCTGTGATTTTTTTTCTGAAAGCTATGTACAGCTGGCCTCTCCCACTAGCCCTGATCTGCCTGCATTGCATAGCGAACAGAGTCCCAGTAATGACATCACTGGTTCTAAAATAAAGTATGTAGCGAAAATGGACAAGTTGTATTTAATGAAGTAATTAGCAGGTGACGAGGAAGGAAGGCCGAACCGAGGAAGGCAAAATAAAAGCAGATTAGACTTCAGCTTTGAAGGTAGTTTGTCACATGAGGAGCCGGATCAGGGAAACCGACTGAAACATTGTAGATGTCAATTATCTTTTAGAAACTGGTCACACAGCTGCGATTTAAAATAGTGCGATTTGTGTGCAGTTTCAGGGCAACTTCAGGTTCGATTTCTGAAGCAGGGGCGGACTGACAACTCATGGGGCAATAGGGGATCATGGGGCCCCTGTGTCCTTGCCCAAACTCAAAAAAGCCTATGAAAAAGGTATCAGGGGCATCTCATGGGGCCCCCTACTTACCCCGGGCCCTCAGGCAGTGCTAGAGTTTCCAAATGGTCAGTCCGCCCCTGTTCCGAAGACTTTATTGCTACTTTTTCAAGATTTTCAATGATTTTTTTTTTACAAGATTTTCAATGATTTTTTGCAATTTGCAGTGCGATTTCCATTATATTCTATGTGTGTGACATCGCAACAAAACTGCAGAAAAAGTCATGCAAGAACTATTTTAGAAATTGCGCTGCAGCAAATCGCACATGACAAGGCATTGACATTCACATTCATTAGATGCGATTTCTGGTGCAATTTAAATTCCCGAATCACATCTGAAATTGCATCGGTGTGACCGGGGGGACTTAATGTACAAGTCGTATAATCAGCACTCATTTCCGCATCTTTTATTCTCTGACTCAACAGCCGGAGGTCCAAGCCCTGCCCGCTGCCCATACAATACACTCCAATATTCAGGATGGTCAGTCCCACTTTGTAATATTAAAGAGGACCTGGACTCCAATGTCAGAGTATGTCCTAATCCAGTCACTGCAATGTCATACAACATGGAAAACGTTCATTTCATTTCAAAAGTCCTAATCCCTAGAGATCTTCACTGGTGTCATGAGTTCCTATATACCTGGTTCAGACCAACTCTAGTCTGGTGTGTCCTGGAGGAAGGACCCCCATATGTGTGCCAAGTATTTTGATAGATAGGAATTGGTATATATAGAAAGATAGCAGTGAGAGAAGAAAAGAAAGATAGATAGATAGATAGATAGATAGATAGATAGATAGATAGATAGATAGATAGATAGATAGATAGATAGATAGATAGATAGATAGATAGAGAGATAGATAGATAGATAGATAGATAGATAGATAGATAGATAGATAGATAGATAGATAGATAGATAGATAGATAGATAGATAGATAGATAGAATAGATAGATAGATAGATAGATAGATAGATAGATAGATAGATAGATAGATAGATAGATAGAGAGATAGATATGAGATAGATATGAGATAGATAGATAGATAGATAGATAGATAGATAGATAGATAGATAGATAGATAGAGAGAGAGAGAGAGAGATAGAGGGATATAGATATAGATAGAGAGATATAGATAGACAGACAGATAGATAGACAGATAGATAGATAAGATAGATAGATAGATAATAGATAGATAGATAGATAGATAGATACATTTGTAATAGATAGATAGATAGATAGATAGATAGATAGATAGATAATAGATAGATAGATAGATAGATAGATAGATAGATAGATAAAATAGATATGAGATAGATAGATAGAGAGATAGAGGGATAATAGAAATAGAAAGATAATAGATAGATAGATAGATAGATAGATAGATAATAGATAGATAGATAGATAGATAGATAGATAGATAATAATAGATAGATAGATAGATAGATAGATAGATAGATAGATAATAGATAGATAGATAGATAGATAGATAGATAGATAGATAGATAATAGATAGATAGATAGATAGATAATAAATAATAGATAGATAGATAGATAGATAGATAGATAATAGATAGATATGAGATAGATAGAGAGATAGAGAGAGAGAAATAGAAGATAGAGAGAGAGATAGATAGATAGATAGATAGATAGATAGATAGATAGATAGATATGAGATAGATAGATAGATAGATATGAGATAGATAGATAGATAGATAGATAGATAGATAGATAGATAGATAGATAGAGAGATAGAGGGAGATAGATAGATAGAGAGATAGAGGGAGATAGATAGATAGATAGATAGATAGATAGATAGATAATAGATAGATAGATAGATAGATATTAGATAGATAGATAGATAGATAGAAGATAGATAGAGAGATAGAGGGATATAGATATAGATAGAGAGATATAGATAGATAGATAGATAGATAGATAGATAGATAGATAGATAGACAAATCTATAGGTTTCTTGGCCCCATCCCTTTCATACCAGGGGCCCCTCAGCAAGCAGGATGTACAGAATAAACTTGATCATGCTCTCAGCTGCAGAAAAGAAATGTTCCGCCGACCCGTAATAATAGGAGACAAGCAAACCATAGACTGGCATGCAGACACGGCAGGTAAGATTGGGGTAGTTCCAGTTCTGCAGAAGAACCGTCGGAGGTCGATGAGTTTCAGACAGGCTGATGGGTAATTTTTTTTCCCTTGGACCATTCTACACACACATACTGTGCATTGTTCCAGTGAGATCATAAAGAATAAAACCAGGAATATTCCGGAATGTGACAGCTCCAGGATGTTAACCAGCCGCAATTACGGCTCCGCTCAGTTCTGATTCCATAAGAGAGCCGGCAACAATTAGCACACAATTAAGCAAATTACCTTTAATTGTATCATGACTGAGGAAGATCTCATATTTCCCCAACACAGTCTGAATGTGAATATCAATGGAGCCCGGCCAACAAAATTCCATCCTCCACCAGAAGGGCCCCAGTGTTTTGCAGAAGATGTCCTCATTTTTTTTCCTCTAACAAAAGTGCGATGTGCACAGCGGGAGGGTAGCTACGCACCGTAGGAAAAGCGTTAATGGCAGCCAAAAGGCGGGGATTGAGAGAGGGGGGATGCTGGGAGTTGGGTTCAGCTCAAGCAAAGAATGCCAGCCATAACGGGAGTAGAAAATTGTTGATGACACTTACCTGGGTGACCCATGGAAGGCCCCTGGGTGATATAATTTAGGAGGTGTAATTCTGCAAGATACCGATTTAACGGGAAGAATGGAAAAAAGAGCAATGGAGAGGGTTTGTTAGCATGAAACGGGCTCATGTCATTGAGAAGTCAAAACAATACACAGACTGAGACTTTCCGCTACTAGAGGTATATCGCAAGAGAGTTGCCCTCTTCTATCCTCTATATCAGCCTTTCTCAACCTTTTTAACCCAAAGGAACCCTTGCAAAAATGTTCTGGCTTTCAGGCCCAGGGAAACCCTGCTAAGAGTACCCTATTGGCGGACATTGGTAAAAATCCATTTCCATTGGTAGTGGTCAGTGGGAAGAATGCTCCCTACATTGGTGGTCAGAATGCCACCCTTAAAGTCATGACTCTGGCTCTGCTAATTGGTGTTGGACCTGGAACTATGCAGAGAACAACACATGGGAGGTCAGTTAACCACAGCTTAAGGAAACCCTAGCCACTTCTGGAAGAACCCTAGGGTTCCATGGAACTCTGGTTGAGTATGGCTGCTCTATATAGATATAGATTGCTATTGATCGAAACAAGACAACACTGCTGGGAACTT